ATAGGAAATAACAAAAATAATAGAGTAGTTATTGATTTAGAATTTTGATATATATTAGAAGGAGGATTCAAGTGAAGACCAAAGCTAGAGATTTTATTAAGGGGATTATCACAATCTAAGGTAAGTTCTATGTCAACCAAAAATGTTTTATCTCGTATTTATATGTATGCAATATTTGAACTATGTGAACTATTTATGAATTGGAAACTGTTTGTTTGACATGGAATGAATATTTTGAATGTATGGATATTGGTGGATTATTATCTATTATGAATTATTGAATGTATATTCTTTTTATTAAAGAATATTGGTGGATTGATATTTATTACAAAGTATATTTTTGGAAAGTGTGACAAGAATGACTTTGGGAAAAACTTAAAGTTTTTCATAATATATTTTTACGTCTCGAGAGAAACACGAGGCGTGGGTGATTAGGACTACTACTACTTTTGGTGAAATTTATTTGGGTCGGTAACCAGTCCGGCAATGACATGCTCCGGTAGACATCCCGGGCTTTCATTTGAGGACCAAAGGTCCTTTGGTGGTTGTAGTAGTAGTTACCTAATTTACCCCTGGACAATGTCCCTTGTGAGTAGGTGGTAGAAAACATCCTGTCTACTTGAGTTTCTTACTACTCGGAGAGCTTGGAATCCCTTTTAGAGGGTGTGCACACTTAAGGTAGAAATTCAGCTTCCAAATTGGTGGTCGGTGGGAGCCGGAATTCCGGGATGAGTCGTAAATAACAACGACTCGTTGGGCTCGAGGAATCTTGAGTTTCACCCACTCTTAAAAGAAATCTAAAGTATTACTTTTGGAGGAATTGAGGAATGACATTATCTATTGAAGAAATTATTTTGAGACGTGAAGTTATTTTGGAGATATGAGAGGGTATTTTCTATATATATACCTATACCAAACCTATTTTCCAAATTATATTATTTTACGGGTTCGGGTGGAATCTTACTTAGCTCTAAAGCTAATTTTTGTCTCTTTTGTCTTCTTCTCTTTGCTCTATTGTACAGATGATTATGATTATGAAGATTGATGTACTTGCTGCCCGAGCGTTCCGCTAGTTGCACACGTTTGATTAATTATCGTTGTTTAAATTTGTAATTCATAAACTTTGTCCTAAGACCTATTTCATTGTTATTTGAACTTATGGTGGATAACCTGTGCACTCAATCATGTAAAGGTTGAGTGTGACGGTGATGCACATGTTTTTCCCTTAAAGACTTCCGCTGTATTCTAAATATGTTTAATAATAAAGATGGTTTCATTTAAAAATGTGATTTTATTTGGGTGGGAAAAATGGGAGTGTTACACCCTATGTCAAGCACTTCCCACATTTCATCATGAAGAGCACAAAGGTGTGCCTTTATCTGGATCCTCCAATCATCAAACTTAAGATCTGAAAACATAAGATTCTTGGAAAGAGAGTGATCCATAATGTGTGATTAAACAGAGGCAGAGAAAACAAGTGGATCTTTGTTCAACAGGTAACCTAAAAGATTACAAGAACAAGGAGGCTCTGATACCACTTGTTGGTCCCGATTGTACTAGGTACAGTCTAGAGGGAGGGGTGAATAGACTGTACTGGTTTTTAGCTTTTTCAAGCTAAGTACCAGATTAGACAGAATAGCCTGTTCTGTTGATAGAACAGACTGGCAGCAGATGGTCTTCTGGTAGGGGTTCTATCCGGTTTGCCTCTAAGAGGTGCAAAGGCAGTAGGCCTTCTGTTAACTCACAGGAGGGGTTCTGCTGAACACAGAGTCCCAATTTCTAGAGTTAATCAGTTAAAGGTAAATGCAAGAAATAAAAGCAGTAAGTAAATGACACCAGAGATTTTTATTGTGGTTCAAGGAACAACTCGTTCCTCTAATCCACTGTTCCACTAAGCTTGTAAAAATAAAATTACACAACCTTAGTCCTAGCACTTAAGAAGCTCTCCACGTGTTCTTCAAACCTAAATGTCTCCTGGGATGCACTTCCTTGCTTCCTTTAAGACTGGTCCTTTCACTGAGCTTCCTTGAAGTATCATCACTTCACTACTCCAGTTACTTGGACATCCTTCTCATTGGAGAAGAGTTCTTGTGTGAACAGGGGGTTTTCCAACTAGCTTCGTTACAGAGGATATGTAGTTGTAGAGCTTGAAGTGTTGAAGAACAGTTGGAACGATTCTTTTTACATCGGAAAAAAAAGATATTGAGGTTATAATCTTTTCCAACGTTTGAGAATGTTGCTCGTGAAGAATGAAAGTTTAAGTCTTTGAGCATTTGAATATTTTGCTTTCAGTAGTATCATTTTTTGTTGTTGTTTTTCGAAGTGTGTCTCTTATACTGAGGTTGTCTTCCCGTTGGAGGAGGAGGACAGCTGCATTGAATGCGCGTACAGTTGACTTGACTAGTACGACCCAACAAAGTTGGCGAGTTGCTATTTTGGGATAAAGTTATCCTGACATTTCGGCCAATCATCTGTATTTACTCTTTAGCGTACGTAGTGCATTAAATGTGCATTTAATGCGCATACTATAGCTTTCCCGTTTGAGTCTCCTAGCCGTTGAAGGAATCTTCCGTTGGTTTCACCGGCTAAAGTAGTTCCATGAAAATTCTCTAAGTGTCAGGCCTTCTAGTGTCTTCAGCAGAGAGTCTACCAGAGAGGGTCTCGAGCACTTCTGTTGAAATAAGCTACCAGAGGGTCCATATGTCTTTTGTCAAAAAGCGAGGTAACAGAGGGTCTTGACAAATACTGTTGAAGTGAAAAGTCTAACAGAGAGCCAGTGAGTCTTCTGTCTGGATATGAACCAACAGAGAACCAAAGGTCTTCTGTTCAGACTAAGTCTGTCAGAGGGTCTTCTGTCAGGAGGTCTTCTGTCAGTCGACTATACTAAGAAACTTTACAAGGAAAAATTCTAATACAAATTTCTAAAGAGGGTTATTCTAAAATCCTAATTATTATAGCATCATCAAAATCTAATTACAATTATTCCTTACAATTACAAATGGTTGTTCTAAATATTACATGAACAAGTGTGGGAGAAAGGGTAATATCTAGCACTCGTGACACAACTAGAAGACTGCACCAGAAAAACCAAAGCAACAAACTCACTATAGAGTGTTTAGTAAATCATTTTCCAGAGAGACTCTTATTCTTGACCAAAACATGAGGACAAGAAAGACAAATTCTAAATTATTCAAAGATGCCCGTAGTCACAATAAAAAAAGAGAGGAATGCATATGTATCTACATATTTACTAATCATACTTGACCTTTTTACTTTCCTTAGTCAAACCATAAACCAAATAGTAAAAACTTTGCATTTCTTCCCGTAAGATTATACTACGTTATACTATATTATTGCTAAACATAAGGGGGCTACATTAATTTAGCAGCTGCAATACAATCATACCAAAAGTTTCAAATTCAATGCTATGCCCATCAAGTTAGGGGTGGGGGGGGGTGGGGGGTAAAAAACTTGTACTTTGAATTTTGTTCTATTAATTGCCCATGAATTTTGTGCAGCCCGATTCTCACCAAACGACAAATATTCAAGGTAGAGAGCCCTCCTAAAAAAGCACCCCATGAGTGAAACATCCCTATTTTTGTCCAGATATATGTATTTAATCTGCCAACAAATATATCCATTTGCTATGTAAGAAGAAAACTTGTAAGAACTTTCATGCCTAATTAACCATCAACTATTGTCAATCTGTCAAATAACTCATACTAGTTATCAAATATAGTCAACCTCTAAACTAATTAACTCACACCATCAAAATCAGACCTGTCAATTAATGGAAGCAGCTCATACAGCTCTTGTATTCACAAAAAAACTCCACATAAATTTGCATCATACATATGATAAAAGATTTATTCAGCTCAAATCGAGTGCATAGCCTATTTCCAGAAATACTATTGAGAATACAGGAATCCTTTAACCAAGTAACTCTAATCAAATCAAGATTCAAAATAGATCCGATTCTATGTTTACTTTCACAAATGCGAATAACAGAGCATCAATTTTAAATTGAAAGGATTTGTTTTTTATTATAACCTCAAACTCATATGAACCTTGGGATTGTAATACATAGTCGTGCATTTGTCAAAACTGACAAATAAGAACTAGATTAACTAAGTTCCTATATATAGATAAAGAATTGGATTTCAGTTTTAAACATTCAATTGCAAAAATGGTATGAAAATTGAGTTAACTAACAAAGCATATTTTAAACAAAAATGGCATTAACTAACAAACAAAACTGAAAATTTAAGACATTCAGTTTATTTTCACCTTTGCCCCACCCAGATGCATTAGTTCATGCATTCTGAATGAGAATCAGACTGTTTGTCAAGTTATGTCCTGGAAAAACAACATTATAACGCAATAATATAGGAGGTGTTAATCCTCAAGAAACTGAGAACCAACTAGATCAATCCGGAATCTCTCCTGTTTAGAACCGGGCATCCCAATCATAGTAATGGATAAGTCTTCAACTAAACCACATGGAATTGATAGAGGACTTACACAGTTGATCCAAAAGCCATGGCCATTGTTGGTCTCCAGGTGAGAAAAGAGAGTGCCCTAGGAGGCCGTCTGCTCTGTTCGCTTCTGTGCAAAATGGCCGCCACGTCTGCTTGCCGGATATGAGGTATGCACCACTCTCTACTCCGCGGACTGCGGCCGCAATATCGCAGCACTCATTCCCCTGGATGCTAGACGAATGATGGCCAAACGTGAGAAAGATCAAACGCTGTTTGATGAATCAATGGAGTACCTGGTCGTGGCGCTGGAAATTCCATCACCTATCCGTCCCTGATGTTGCTCCAGCGGAATCCCCTTCCACCTTGCGTCTTTTGGTTTGAAATCAGTCTAAAATTGAAATAAAAAACTTGATTGAAAATAAAAAAGATTAAAATGAAAAGAAAAAGTATTTGGGACATAAATGATATGTGGAGCACAAGAAACTAGACCATCCGGTTAATTTCCACATTAGAAATTGGATAAAAAATGGGACCATAACGGTTCATTAGTGCATAAGAGAACCAGTCTCGCCTTCCCTCCATGGAACACCCATTGCTGCCAACCCCGACCGCCAAGTTCGGGAGCAATGAACAACGTCTGCGCTCCCTCCATTTTTCCTCATAGACAAAACGTCAATCATTAGGTCCAATGAGTTCCGCGACAATGGCATGCGCTGCCACTCGGTCACTCCGCCCTTCTCTCCCCCCGCCCTCTTCTTCATCTTCTAGCTTCTTCCCCGGCGGGACTTCTCTTTGGTCCCACAAAAGTACCTTGATTTCCCTCTCTCTCTCTTCTTATTCCACTTTGTCTCAGTTTGGAGAGAAAAATTCGGCGAGGCGCTTTGGGAGATTGATTGTGGCTGCAGGACCTGATTTTTACTCCACTCTCGGGGTCTCCAAATCTGCTAGTAGCAAAGAAATTAAGGCAGCATATCGGAAGTTAGCTCGAGAGGTACTGAATCCAGTAGTTGGTGTGGACGTGTGGTAACGTGCTGATTTCTATTCATTATAATTTTGTCTCCAATTGGGATTCCGGCCATACATGACATTGTATAGCCTTTATACACACCTCAGTTTCTTTCACTTTACTCGTTCTGTGCTCCAAAAGTTTTTGGGGATGATTGTGAGTTTGTTTTTATTGGGCTGTGCAGTGTCGCTTGCCTATATATTATTCTAGTTCTGAGTAAGTAAATATCTTTCTCTGTTAGTACTACGCGAATGAGCTTCTGTTCCAAGCAATTGAGCAAATACTTTCAAGGCATATCATACTAAGTAGCAATGAAACGCAAAAGGAGGACAGTTTTTATGTAAAAAATGTTGGAAGGGGACCTAGGAAGCTTTCAAAAACGAAAGTTTTTGAAATAATATCATGTTTGATATTGCTTCTTTCTTACTATCTAATTAAATCTGATTACATAATTTCATTTTCTTTCGCATGCCAATAGCTAGAGGGCATCTTAATTTGGGATGTAAGGAGTATTTTGGTTTTGACTTTTAATGGTTTTCTGTTGTCTTTTTACCATATGGTTTTGACATATTTGTCACACCCACTTACTTTTCTGTAATCTTGCGACTGACAGAACGAGTAAATTGATGATCTGAGATTATAAATGTTTCCTTCCGTAGTTGTGCGTATGAACAAAATGGTATCTCTCTTGTTATGCTTTCTCTCTACTAGGTTAAGCATTTTCAGGCCTCTAGTTAGTGTCTTCTAGCGTTCTAAATTTTACCTTTCTCATGTTTGGCGAGTCCAAGGCTTACAAGCTTCATATATAGATTAGCACCAGAAACAATGTCAATTACTTTTCCTGGATCCTGATAACCTTCCTTTTTACTCGTATCTTCTTTAGTACCATCCAGATGTCAACAGGGTGCCTGAAGCTTCTGAAAAATTTAAGGCGATTAAATATGCTTATGAGGTGAGAGTTGGAATTATAACTTGCTTCCTCTGTTAATCAGTTATTTAAATGTTTTTATTTTCTATTACTGAGTATACCTTTATGCTAATCAATCAATCTTGATCTCATATAATCTTTATTTGAGAAATAAACTTTTATTTAGATACTATCAGATGACAAAAGGAGAGCTTTATATGATCAATATGGCGAAGCTGGGATTAGAGGTACTGTAGGGGCTCAAGCTGGAGCTTACACGGTATAACATTTTATGCTCTTTGTGTTTCTACACTGCCCTTGTATTGGGCCTTTTTCTGCAGCAAAGTTATATCGATTAGTTTACAATTGTGCATTTGTGCCTATTGTCTCATGGGATTGCTTTTCTTTTTCGATTCTGTGATTGGTTTTTTCCATAGAATTATGTGGGAAAAAATTAACTAGTACCCCGCAAACTCCTGTTGCACAAATAATGAGAAAAATCATGTTTGTTTCGATTCACTCGTTTTGATAATGTAACTACTTAAGAAGAACTTTTTTGTTTTGGTCCACTCTTTTTGAACCATTTTAGAAAACGATACAATAAAAATGGGACGTCCCAAAATGGAAAATGGGACAATAATATGGATAAATTTTGGGGCAAAAATATCAAAGGCGTGGGATGGGCCAAAGGGGTGATCGGCCCGAAGAAACTCAGCCCTATGAAACTAGCTTTTTAGTTCACTTCTAAAAAGTTTCCTAATCTAATTTTGGTAGATTTCTTAGTTCAGTTTTAATTAGTTTCTCTTATTCTCTTTTAGGAATCTGTTAAGACCGATGTATAAGAGTCCTTAGTTGATTTATGAGGAGTTGTATTGCAAAATTAATTATTGTGTGTCTTGACAAGGTGCCCAGATTTATTCCAATGATGTCTTTCATTTTTGTTTTTTTCTTTCTTTTTACTCATCATAGATCCGAAAATTCATCCATCATGGATGAGATCATGGATGAGCGCTCTTAACAATTATGTATAAGCATGAGGCTGGATGGAGACTGATTCTACATCAACCGATAATCTGAAAACCTACATGCAGGGATTGCAGTTCGATGTTGAGGAAGAACTTGCAAATCTCAGAAGTTATGTCACAGATTTGGTTGGCCTTCCATCTGCCTTCACTGACCTTCGCAACACAATCACTTCCCTCGCGACTTCGATCCAACAGCTTTTCCACGATGAAGTCGTTGACTCTGTAATTTCCAACTGACGCAAGGAGACGACAACTAACAACATGTCACATTTGATTTTATGGTTCCCCGCTTCTCCAAACGGGAATTTCCCAAATTTGATGGCAAAACAGATCTGTTACCCCGGCTTAAACGTTTTGGACGATTTTTAGTCTGCAAGCAAAAATTGCACCCCATGGCAAGGTGGCTTAGCAGCCTTTCACATGACTGGCACGACATAGCTTTGGGTGAAACAATTAGATCTAACAGTCTCAAAACTTATATGGACTGAGTTATTTTTGGCCCACCAAGTAGTTTTAATCCGGAGGGCGATCCAGCCAACCTTAAACCATACTTGTCATGGCAGTAAGTCAAGTCGCGACGCCAGACAACCGCCATATTGCCTATGTGATAAGGTGCCCGCCTAGGCGACAATTAGGCTACTAGTTGCACATTGTATAATACTACTTGTACAGTATATATAATTATATATATATATTATACATGATATATAATATATTACTTATTAAATTGTATATTACTTAGAATAGAAACTCAAAAATCCACAATTCGTAATTGAATAGAAGGTTTCCTAATGGGAATTAAGAGTAAAAATGTCTGTCTCAAATAATCATTGTAAAAATCATATATTTGTATACATATTTATATATATGATAGTTTTTATTAATGATTTTATAGTTTAATGATTTGTTATTTTATACTTCCTCCGTCCCAAATTGAGTTGCAAATTTGACTTTTTTGAGTCAAACAGTTTTATTTTATTCACTTAATTAGGATATCATTGCTTAATTTTAAATTTTATTTTGGATTTTGCAACTTCATAGAGATTTTAATGTAATTTTTGAATAGGGAGTAAAACTCTAATAGTAAGTGGTTTAACAATTGGGCAAAAGGTTTCACTGAAATCAAAACCATATTTTTGATGAAAACCTTTTTGCAACTAAATGAGCTTTGAATGTATTAATAGTTTCATCAAGATTTTCTTTTAATCAAAACACCCGTTTGCATTCAATAACATGTTTGTCAGGTTGTAGAGAAGTAAGAGACCACGTGTTATTAGAAATTAAAGCATCATATTTTGATTCCATTGCTTTATGTCAATCAGGTGAACCGAGGGCTTGCTTATTGATGTTGGCTCAGTATGAGCTAAGAGCAAGGTTGGATTAAGTCTAGGTTTACTATTCTAGATTTAGCTCTAATGTTCATAGGATGGATGTTAGAAGAAGAAACGGGAGAGATGGATGTGGTATTGTTAGAAGAAGAAGAGCAAGGTTGGATTAAGTCTAGGTTATGAAGATCAAGAGTTTGGATACCGGTTTGTAGCAGAATGGTGGTATTAAAAAAACCCTGTTTCATGAGTTTGCTCCAATACACAAGAACAATGTATATCTCATGCTCCTGAAGATATTTCTGTATCATCACATGTTCCTCTCAACAACGAGGAAGTGAATGATAATGGAGAACATGAAAATCATGGTCTAGTAGATGTTGATGATGTTTAAGATGAAGAAATACCTGAGCAAGGGGGGTTTCACCTGAAGGTATTGCTGAAGGTATTGCTAATAACGCTCTAGGGTTTAGGGTTTAGGGTTTAGGGTTTAGGTTTTAGGGTTTAGGGTTTAGGGAAGAAATTCAACCAAGCGCGGGTAAACGGCGGGAGTAACTATGACTCTCTTAAGGTAGCCAAATGCCTCGTCATCTAATTAGAAGTTTGATGTTCTACATGAGGTATAGTTCCACAAAGAAAATTCCCGATATCTGAATGGATCCTTCTTACCAGCGAGGGGGAGCCAAAGAGTTTTTGAGAAGCTCAGTCTCATCAATACAAATCTAATTAGTGAAAATCTATGGAGGATGAGATGAAATCCTTGTAGAAGAAACAAACTTGTGAATTGGTGAAACTTTCCAAAGAAAAGAAAGCCTTGAAAAGCAAATAAGTTTTCAAGCTGAAAAACAGTAATATTGTGAAGCACAAGGCAAGACTCGTGGTCAAAGGATTCCAGAAGAGTAAGAAATTGACTTTGATGAGATTTTTTTCCTGTTAAGATTATGTCAATTCGACTTGTATTCGAGTTGATTGCTAGTCTTAATCTTGAATTAGAACATATGAATGTGAAAACATCATTTCTATGGGGTGATGTACTGATGTAAAAGAAGAAATATACATGGAACAACTCAAAGGTTTCCAAGTTTCAAAGAAAGAGCATCTCGTTTGCGAATTAAAGAAGAGCCTTTACAGCCTCAAACAAGCACAATGCAATCGTACAAGAAGTTTGACTCGTTTTGTTGAAACATCTATACAAGAGAACTATTAGAGACCAATGTGTGTACCTCAAGAAGTTCATAGATGGGAAATTCATGATCTTGTTACTCCATGTGGATGATATGCTGATAGTGGGCCAAGATATGAACATGATCAACAACTTGAAACAAGATTTTTCTAAGATTTTTGATATGAATGACTTATCCCGACACAACAAATTTTGGGCAAGAAAATTGTCCGTAACCGAAAGACAAGGAAGTTGCTCTTATCACAAGAAGAGTATGTTGAGCGCGTGATTAAAAGGTTGAACATGGAGAGTGCCAAGAAAATAGGCACTCCGCTATCCAATAACTTCAAGTTGAGTAATAAAAGTTGTCATTCTTCTGAGCAAGAAAAAGAGATGGATGAAAGCATTATCTACTTTTCAGTAGTAGGAAGTTTGATTTTTGCAATAGTGTGTACAAGACCTGATATTGCTCATGTTGTCGGCGTTCTAAGCAAGTATGTATCCAGTCAAGGAAGTGACCATTGGGAAGTTGTCAAATGGATACTATGGCATCTGAAGTAGGGGTCAGCATATTCCGGTCCAGACCATAAAACCCTATTGAACCGGACCAGTTACATACCGGTCCGGTCTTTGGTCCAAGCCTTTGAAGTTTCCAGTCCGATTTGGTCCAAACCCGGAATATTTAGGTCCGGACCGGTTGGACCGTAATTAATTAATATTATTATTATTTTTAAATATATTTTCTTTCTAAAATGTATTAGTATGTAACAAATATCAATAACTAATTAGATTTAGTTTTATTTGAATATTTATTCAAGAAAGGTTTATGTTTAAATAAATTGATAGCCACCATAATTAAATTTGTATAAAAAAAGTTATTATTTTTTATTAAAAATCCAAATCCAGTCCAATATCAATCCGGTCTTGGACCAAAATCTTTAAATAAATATCCAAATCCAGTCCACTATTTTTGGCTTGGGAATAATGATGGAATATAACAAAATGGTTTACTAAACTGTCTGCGATTCTTTGTTATGAATCAGCAGTCAGTCCATGCAATTTTCGATGCGATTTTCACTTTGGGTCATCCGGAAATAGTCTCTCTGTGATTTCTCTCTGTGATTTAGTGCAGGGATAAGACTGCGTAGTGCGTACATCCGACTCCCTCTTACCCCATCGTAGGTGAGAATCTTTGTGGCACTGGGGTAATGATGATGATGATCCAAATCCGGTCCAATACCTGTCCGGTCCTGGATTGAAATTATAATGGTCTGGCCCGGTCCGGTCTTGGGTTGGTGCTCACTCCTAATTTGGGGAGCGAAATAAATTTGGGAAGGTTACAAACGCAGATATGAAAAATCGACTTAAGTTACATATTCACATTAGAGGGAGGAGCTGTCTCATGGCAATCCAAGATGAAGAAGTGTGTGATCTTCTACAATAGAAGCTGAATAAATTCCTGCGATTGAAGCTGGGAAAGAGCTTAAGTGGCTGAAATGTTTTTTCAAGAGGTTGGCTTTCCGCAAGAGGAGTAGATCATTCATTTTGATAGTAAGAGACTAAGAGTGTTATGGATCTTAGCAAGAATTTCATGTATCATTCATGTATAAAAATATTGATGTTTGATATCACTGGCTTAGAGAAATAGTCGAGAAAGATGAACTGAAGCTCTCAAAGATACACACAAAACAAACAAGAATGCTGCAAACATGTGTTAACACAGTGGTAATGCACGAGAAACACAAACTATGTACAAGCATTGTTGGAATGAGCGAGATATGAAAGAAGGTGAGGGGGGGGGGGGGGGAATTGTAGAGTTTCAGCTATGTCTACTCGTAGGGGTGGTGCTCCATCGTCTACCAATTAATGAGAAGGTATGGTAAGATATGAGTAAGAGTATGGACAACACACAATAAGTCTCCCAGCCTTGCCTATAAATAAAAGGTTTATTTGTTCATCATTATAGATAACATAGTGTAAGAGTGTTATACACTAGTGTGGGAAAGAGTGTATGGGTGTGAGAGTTTGTTTACTGTTATTGGGTGAGCTTGACTCCGCCCGTAATTCGGTTCATGTGATTGAATAGAAGAATTTTCCAATTCTAACTGATTTTGCGATCGAGTATGATGGGTCAGGTACTGGTTTAGGCACGGTGTTGCAACAGAAAGGGCATCTAATCGCTCACTTCAACAGAAAGACCACGAATCGCCATATTAAACTCCCAGCCTATGAATGGGAGCTCATTGGATTGGCTAAAGCAGTCACACATTATCGTCCTTATCTGTGGGGCCATGAATTTGTCATCCAAACTAATCATTCGAGCCTCAAACATTTACTGGATTAATGCCTGACCACTCCCCCATAACAACATTGGTTGAGCAAGTTGATGGGGTTCACTTTCCGAGTAGAATACAAGCCGGACCAACTTAATGCCACACCTGATGTATTTTTCCGCCATGATGAAGGTGAGATTTTTGTGGCAGCTTCCGCGGTTCCATCCAAGCAGAACAAGTGGGCCCCTCATAATTTCTGCAATTCGATCCCAGATCACAGCTGAAAGCCGCACAACAGATTTGACATTGGTCGATGGGTTAGCTTATTTCAAGTATAAACTATATCTACGAGTTTCCTTTGCTATTGTTTCCCTTTAGTTTTCCATGACATGGACCATGAAGGAGTGGAAAAGACACCGGAGTGTATCCGTTGGGAGTTTACTTGGTAGCATGAAACCCATCGTGGCAGATTTTGTTCGGAATTGTCAAACGTGTCCGCAACATAAATGGTTTAACTTGCGTATGACAGGGCTCCTTCAACCGCTCCCGATTCCGCAACACATTTGGGCAGTCATTTCAATGGATTTTGTAGAAGTGCTGCCCAAAGTGAGAGGCGAGACGGTGATATTGGTGCTTGTTAAATGTCTTTCTAAAGCAGTACATTTCCTCTCCCCTTGGGTGAGATATTCTGCTTACATGGACTGCCAGAGTCCATCGCCTCTGACCGTGATAAAATATTTGTGAGTTCTTTTTGAAAAGAACTATTTCGGTCGGATGACACAAATACTAAATTGACTTTTTTTATCTGTCCTCGGACCGATGGTCAAACCGAGATAGTAAATCGCACATTGACAATGTTTTTGCGATGTCTCACAAATAATTACCCGAAAGAGTGGGTTCGTTGGCTTCCATGGGTTGAATATTGCTATAACACTGCTTACCATACTTCACCAGGGAACACCCTTACATCTCGTTTATGGTCGTGATCTACCTAAAGTTATTTTATATATCCATGGGACAGCACAATGAGAGGGTGAGGAACACGAGCTTCTTAGCCGGGATCAACTCTAGCTAAGGCCCGAGAGCGAATAGCTGAAGCCCAACAACATATGAAGCTGTAGTATGATAAAACTCATGGTGATCGTTCCTACGAGGCAGGAGATTGGGTCTGGCTACACATTCATCCTTACAGACAACTCTCCCTAGGTCGTGGTAACCATAAATTAATTCCAAACTTTCATGGACCGTTTCAGGTTCAATCTATTGAAGTTATCACGAGGAAGCCGCATACACGATGTGTTCCATGTCTCTCTTTTAAAGCCACACAAGGGGACCCCACCATCAACCATGCGAACTCTGCCATTGCTAGTTGACCCACCTGAAGAAAGTAAACTGCTTGCTCATCTCTTCAACCGTTTGAATCATGGCTCCGTAGAATTCTTGGTCCAGTAGCAGAGTAAATCACTTGAAGAAACCTCTTGGGAACCTGCAGATACATTTTGGACCTCTTATCCATATTTTGAGCTTGAGGACAAGCTTCTAGTCAACAAGGGGAGTGATGTAATGGACAAATTTTGGGGCCAAAAATATCAAAGATGCATGATGGGCCATAGGGGTGATCGGCCTGAAGAAATTCAGCCCAACGTAACTACAGAATGTGGCTGATTTTGGGAGCAAGTTCCTTTATTTGCTTCACTGCTATTTAATTTAGTTTTAGAAACTTTCCTAATTCAGTTTTAGTAAGTTTCTTAATTACGTTTTAGCAACTTTCCTAATTCAGTTTTAGTAAGTTTCTTAATTACGTTTTAGCAAATTTCTCTTTTTCTCTTTTACGACTCTTGTAAGACCTATTTATAGGGTTCCTTAGTTGATCTATAGGGTGTTTTTTTGCAAAATTAATTATTGTGTGTCTTGACAAGGTCGGGCACGAGATTAATTCCAATAAAATCTTTTATTTCTATTTCATTCATCTGTTTACTCGAATTCGCTTCTGTTTTCTCGTTCTCGACCTTGGACGAGGTCGTGTACGTGCGCTCTAACAGTATCATAATGCATGAGCCAATGCCTTTTGAACCATTTCTAGGGTCTGTAAGGTTCTGGCTGAAAATTGTTGCCCATTTCCACCGTGCTCGTGATTAAGAAAGAAAAACTGTATGGTGAAGATTTAACTAGAAGAGAGGAATATTGTGAACCACATATTGCTTTCCTTAATAGGAAATGCATAATATTGGGAAGATACATTTAGGAGATGTGAGATTATATGTTTATCAGAGCGCTGCTTTCTCAACTGTTTGTTTTTATTCAACAAAGAAACTTATGTACCATAGAAAGGAACATTAACTTTAAATCTATTAAGCACAAAATCTGTTTTGAACTCTTGTTTTATCTGATCATATATTTCTATTGTCTACACATAAATCCAATTTTAATATGTTATCCAACCTCTCTCTATAGTCAAATATAAAGGTAATTTCAGCTGACATTGACTCATTGTTTTCAGATAGTGTGACTCATACCAACCATGTCAGGACATCATAGGTTTTATTTAGTTTTGTTTTTTATTGTTTGGTTATCTAAATATTAAGAAGATCAGAAGATGGTTGTATATAATTTATTGTTTTTATTATTATGTTTAAAAAAGAAGAACAATGGGACTTATATGAGAAATAGTTAACTTTGACTGTAACCTTATATCTAGTGTTTAAAATCTCTTTTCTTTTAAATCCTTTGGTTTTGATTTCATCTTTAGAATATTTTTTTGGACCTGGTGGCATTCCAAAACCCGGGGGTTTTGGGTGAGGGCCAGGGAACACCTCACCTATTTATTGAGTTTCATCCATAGGTACAGGGATCGCAGACTTACCTGCGATTTACGTTCCGGTATGCGCGATTCAAATCGCGGTACAATTGCGTTCGAAACGCCGAAGGTTCGCGATTCCGGTACGGCGGATCCAGATGGAAGTTCGCGAACTTCTTCCGGTGGGTACGCCGCGTCGCCTTCTTCCCGTTCGCCGTTCCTGCAAGAGTCCAACGAACCGGCAGTCCAAACGCTCCGGTTGAACTCTTCACCATTCCAGGAGCTTCGTAGTTCGTACCTTAAATACCTAAACGACCCGACTCTTCATTCACGCCTTAACTCTTTGCCGGTTGAACTCTTCGCGGTTCCAGGAGCTTCGTACCTCTAATACCTAAACGACCGGACTCTTCATTCACGCCTTAACTCTTCGCCGTTTATCACACTTAACCTTCCAGGCATTCACGCCTATTTAAGGCCTTATTCAAGTTTGTTTAATGTTATTGAAGTTATTGAAGTTAATTGCTTAATATTATGCTTGTATTATATTTATAGTTGGTAAATTCATATGTTTATGGTTCACCGTACCATATACAATGGGTACAGCGTACCACGTACCGAAATCGCGTACCGTAGAAGCCTACCCCCTATGTATCGGATTTCTAATTTTGGCGATCCGCGTTCCCGTTTTCGTACCGCGTACCGAAGCGTACCGCGATCCATGTGACTATGGTTTTATCTTTAGAATATTTTTGTACTTCCAGTCTTTTTGAAAGTATTTATATATTTGGCACAGTTAGGCTTGCAAGTGGTACCATGTTAAATCTTCATTCATGTTGCAAATAAGGGATTTAAGGGAAGCTAGGTTAACAGGGAATAGATGGACTGGGATTTACTTGCTTGATTTTTTAATTGAAGATATGCTCGTTGTAAGGCTCATGATGGCTACTAGGTTGAGGTTAATTCCTTTTTAATCCTGATTCTTCCGTTCCTTTTTCTTTTTTGTGTCTATCGCAGGCAAACCCTCTTGATATTTTTGAGACGTTTTTTGGGGCTGGTCTTGGCAATTTCGGAATGGATGCATCTGGCTTTGGGACTGGGGCAACAGGTCCCCGAAGAACGAGTTCCAAGGGTGATGATTTACGGTAAGGATGGATACATTTTCTAATTATTACTCTGCAATCTGTATCATTTATTAAACTGCATTGATATTACAGAAGAACCTGAGATGAACAATATTGCCTAACAAGACCTGAAAAAAGCTTGGATGTGATTACACTGACTATTACCCTGAATCCCTGATATTATTTATCACATTCCATTGATGTTGTGCTTGGACTGATACAACAACATCCAAGCCTTCATCCCAAAGCCACATTTTCAGAATCATATCGCACTAGGGTTTATTAATTATTATGTTGTGTGAGCTTAGCAAAGTATTTGGAGAAGTTTCCTCCCTGTAGTGGTTGGTAATTATGACCTCTGATATGTAGTAGAGTTTCAGGTTTGACTCGCGTGGTTTTGACCTCCAACTTTTCCCATGTGATATGTGGTTGGGACTTGGTAGTAGTGATTAATGGTCTTAGGTGGGGATACTAAATGAGGCTAGTGAAGTAAGACTGACTTTTACAAAATAAAAAAAAAGACTTATTCAGGATGAGCCAAGAAGGAAACAAGAACTTTATTGAGTGAATGCAAATAAGGTGTTACTTTATGCTATATTCAAATTCAAGTCTCCAACATTATGTTACTTCATTTTTTCTATGGATCATGTTAGCATGTTTTAATGATTTTTTGAAAGAATTATAATATGCTCTAACCACCATTGGTTCGAGGTCAACTCTTAGTTGATATTGTTGATGTATATGCTCTCATCATGCATATATTATGCTCCAACTGTTAATATTCTCTATGAAAGTCTAATGTTGAGTCAATTTGCAGTTATGATATAACCTTAGAGTTTATAGAAGCTATATTTGGAGCTGAAAAAGAATTTGTCCTCTCACATCTTGAATCGTGTGGCGTTTGTGATGGTACTGGAGCCAAAGTGGGCACCAAAATGAGGATTTGCTCAACGTGTGGTGGCAGAGGTCAAGTTATGAGAACCGAGCAAACACCTTTTGGCATGTATTCCCAGGTAACTAAAATACTATTCTCTTTAGGCTCGGTTTGGATGGAGGGCTTTGGAAGGGAAAGCTTTGGAGAGCTTAGTCTATCCTAATATGCGATCATATAACATTGAAATACTCCGTAATATTTTATTTATTCTTAGAAACAGTCTCTATCAAGGTATGGATTAAGTCCTCCAAAGCCCTCTCCTCCAGATCCCTCAAAAGCCCTTCACCCAAAGAGACCCTTATGGTCATTTCTATTTGTAGATTGGAAGAAAATAGAGAAATGTTTCTCTATTCTGATTATTATTGTGTACTCCATACGAGAGGAAGATTACAATAGAGAGCTTTGCCATTTTCGGTCCCCCGACTATTGTGTCTGACACTTTTGGCACTCGACTTTTAACTTTTCCAATTTTAGTCCTTGACTATTATTAGAGAGACATTTTTAGTCATCGACTTCAAAGTTTCTCACATTTAGTCCCCTGAGTATTATCAAATTGACACTTTTAGTCCTTCCACTATGATTTTGACATAATAAATGGAGGACTAAAAATGTCATTATTATAATAGTTGAAGGACCAAAAGTGTCACTTTTATGAAAGTCGGAGGACTAAATATAGAAATTTTCAAAGATGGGTACCAAAAGTGTTTCTAGCACAATAGTCAATGACTAAAAATTGAAAAATTCAAAGTCGAGTACCAAAAGTGTCAATGACATAATAGTCAGAGGACTAAAATTGGCAAAAACTCTCGCAATATATATACAACTAGAGATTCAACCTAAGTAGTAAAATAAGGAAAGATCCTGCCGATTAAAGTCTCCTAAGAATAGAGGATATGTAAAGATTCTGAGATCTCTAAGATATCGTCTAATAAATAAAATATCACAAAATCTAAGATATGCAATAATTAAAATAATCTACACTCCCCCTCAAGCTGGGTGATGGATATCATCCATGCACAACTTGTTAGATAGGTCTTCGAATTGAATTCTTAGAAGCGCCTTGGTGAGTATATCCGCTATTTGCTGCTTCTTTCAAACGTGATGAGAATAGGAAATTTTTAATCAAGAGAATAAACCGTTGCCCAGAATAATCATCTGTAGAAACCATTGTCCAGAGCCAAAAAATTGAAATCCAATTTTATTAACTGATAGCAAGAACGAACCCTCACAAGGGTTTTAAATGCCCTTCTAATAACAGACCCAAACAGAAACCCTAATCGAGCCCAAATTAAGTAAACCCTAATTAGGCCCAAATTAACTCTACTAAATACTCTACTAATAACAAGGTCAAACTAGAAAACATAACACAAAGTAATAATAAGTAAAATTAAAACTCCAGCCCACAATCAGCCCATGAAGGTGGGCTCAAGCCCGTCCCCGCCTGTAGGATCACTCATAAATCGAGTCACTAAACTAACTGAGAAAACAATGTTTGGTCGTGTGTAAGATAAGTAGATTAGTTTCCCTACCAGCCTTTGATATCCACCCTTATTGTTGAAATATAAACTAGAATAATATTGAAAAGTGGAGGAAAGATTTTCTATGTATTTCATTAGAGGGTTAAAGCCCTATATATATTACAAAGATGGAATATTCCTATATAAGATGCTATACAATAATAATGTTTAGAGTATATTCCTAAAGCATATTCTAGAGCATATTCCTAAAGCATATTCTTAGATACAATAATGCTTTCACACTCCCCCTCAAGTTGAAGCATAGATATTTATCATGCCCAACTTGTTACATAAGTAATCAACTCGAATCCCATTTAGAGCTTTAGTGAATAAATCTCCAAGTTGTTCTCTAGTCTTCACATATCCGGTAGAGATTAATCCTTTTTGTATCTTCTCTCGAATAAAATGGCAATCAACCTCAATATGCTTTGTTCTCTCATGAAATACGGGATTGTTTGCTATGTGTATAGCAGCTTGGTTATCGCACCACAACTGAGTAGGCATTGATGTCTTCAATTCGATTTCATTCAATAAATGGTGTATCCATATTGTGCCATATCTCGATATTCTGATTCAGCACTAGAATGAGAAACCACATTCTGTTTCTTACTCTTCCAGGATACAAGATTACCACCAACAAAGACACAATAGCCAGATGTAGATCTTCGATCATCTTTAGAACCGACCCAATCAGCATCTGCAAAGCATTCTATTCTCATGTGATCATGGTTTTGATAAACAATAGCTCGTTTGAAGAAATAACAATTGATCCATCAGAGGAATTGGTAGCGGAAGCAACATGAACAAGCCGATTTCCTTGATTTTTGAATAGCAATTTTCTACATTTTTTGATCAAGTATCCGGGCTTCTTGCAGTAATTGCATATTACTCCTTTGTCAAATTTACCCGTACAAAACATTTCTCTCTTTTTTTTGCTGATGTACTTTTTTTTAATAGTTTTTTTTAAAGCAAAATAAAATAAAATAAAGGAATGTAACCTCAATATTCTTTGAGTGTTGTATTCTCCATGTCCGCACAATAAGTAGAGGCTCTGTGAAGATATCCTTACCAGAAGAGAGGCTGAAGACCAAAACCCTCGTCAATAATGGTCGGTCATGAAGGCTGCAAGGAAGAAGCTTGTGCTACCAGAGCTGGAACGAATCCTAACCACCCCAAAGAGAAGCGACAGAAATGGATAGGCGATATGTAGGCGAGCCGGTCGGCGTTTGTCGATTGAAAATCTGGCCGCAGAACAAACGCCATGCGCCGACGCGTGAGATGAAGTCACCAAGCTGTGGCGGCGTGTGTAGCTCACTCGCGTGATATTTAGGTGCCGGATTTTGGTTTCTGGGTCGTCGCCTCGTCGGTGGTAGGCGCACGACTTGGGCACGGCGGTGATGGAATGTGTGGCCTGAAAATTTCTGAGGTCTGGTGGGCAGACTGTATGCAAACGGATTTTCTGGGAAATTAGCTATGCTAATTTGATTTTCTGATTTTTTTTTGTTTATGGCTCTGATACCATGTTGAAATATAAACTAGAATAATATTGAAAAGTGGAGGAAAGATTTTCTGTGTATTTCATTAGAGGGTTAAAGCCCTATATATATATATTACAAAGATGGAATATTCCTATATAAGATGCTATACAATAATAATGTCTAGAGTATATTCCTAAAGCATATTCTAGAGCATATTCCTAAAGCATATTCTTAGATACAATAATGCTTTCACAGTTATCAACTGGTGGACTCTCCTCACTGCCTAACTTCTTTGAATTATCCATAGGAGTGTCTATCGGTTTGCATCCAAGCATTTCAGTTTCACTTGGCAAATCTAGGATATATTTCCTTCGTGAAATGAAAATGCCTCTCTTAGATCTTGCCATCCCATTCCCATGAAGTATTTCAACTCACCTTGCTCTTTGAGCTTAAACTGTCTTGCTAATTGAGCCTTCAATCCAATTCAACCTTATTATCCCCAGTCATAATAATATCATCAACATATACTATAACAATAGCCATTTTACCAGATTCTGCCCTCTTTACAAACAATGTATGGTCTGCTTGACATTGCATGAACCTTTGCTTAAGGACTGATCTTGTAAATCTGTCAAACCATGCTCTAGGAGACTGCTTTAGCCCGTACAAGGACTACCTGAGTTTGCAAACTTGGCCAAATTTCACCATGCCTTCCAACCCTGGTTGTACATCCATAAATACTTCCTTTTCTATGTCTCCATTAAGAAAGACGGTCTTAATATGAATAATATCTAATTCTCTTCCCTGCTGGCAAATTTGTAAGCAACCAAGTGTCATTCTTCTTCAATGCTGCTAATTCTTCATTGACAACCTTCCTCCTCCCTGGATGTTCAAAAGCTTCCTTGATGTTACTAGGAATCTGAATATTATCAATCTTTGAAATAAAAGCTTGATAGTTGGCTGATAGCTTTTTATAACACACAAAATTATAGATCAGATGTTCTGTACACTTCCTTACTCCCTTCCTGATAGCAATAGGTAAGTCATGTTCCTCCTCATCTACCCTTGCAGCCTCAACCACTCCTTCATCAAGATTCAGATAGGAGACAGATGATTGGATGGTGTCAATTGGAGTAATGTGCTCTTCTAGAATTTTGGTTCTAGGTTTCATCGTGTAGGTGTTCTTGTAGAATGGAGAATTTCGGTTTAGTGTAGGGTTTTGTGGTGATGAAGGTGGTGGCTGAAATGGTGAGGTTGGAAGTATAGTGTCTGCAAGTATTGGTTCAGTCTGGAAGTGAGACTATGACTGGTATAGGTTCTTGAAGGGCTGAAATAGGGTCTGAATTAGGGTTCAAAGACTAGATTTCACTCTGATTCTCCCTTTGAAATTCAGCTTTGGGATAGAAAGGTTGATTTTAAAAAAAGGTAACATCCGTGGTGATGCAAACTTTCTTGGTGGTAGGTGAATAACACTTATATCCTTTCTGGTTTGCAGCATACCTATGAACAAACAAGGTAATGATTTGGGATCCAACTTTGACCTATGTGGAGAATGGATGTGAACAAATGCTTTACAGCTAAGTATTTTTGGTGGAAGGTTGGTAAGAGGGATGCGAAGATATAAATTAAAAAGAATTTGGTATGGTGTTTTATATTGGTGAACTTCAGAAGGCATCCTATTTATGAAGTAAGCTGCAGTCAGGACAACTTCTCCCCAGTAGTGATTAACTAAGAGTGTGGGTAGTGAACATAAGGCTTCTAGCAACTTCCACAAAGTGTCTATTCTTTCTCTGCTACCCCATTCTGTTGTGGGTGTCAACACAGGAGCTAATGTGTATAACCCCCTTTTTGGACAGAAACTCTCCTAAGTTGGATGAGAAATATTCGTTGGCATTGTCATTTTTAAAAACTTGAATCTTGGTTTTGAACTGAGTTTTGATCAGAGTAAACTTTCTTGGTGGTAGGTGAATAACACTTATATCCTTTCTGGTTTGCAGCATACCTATGAACAAACAAGGTAATGATTTGGGATCCAACTTTGACCTATGTGGAGAATGGATGTGAACAAATGCTTTACAGCTAAG